GTTTTTTGTTTGGCTAATTCTGGTCACATATATTTGGTCTAGTGCCGGTAGATTTAACGGTATGGCTCAAAATGTACTAATTGAAACATGCTGTACCAGTAACCCAAAGAGATGTCATTTTTTGGATTGATTATCCATTTAAATCTTTTTTTGTGTTTACATTTAATCTACCCGATTTTTGTTTTTTTTTGGCAAACTTGTATATTCGGATATTTTGATGTGATTATACAAAGTACCACTATGTTGTTACTATATTATCACAAACCGTGATACAATCCTTTTTTTTTCGTATAGATTTTATACGTATATGACAATCAGACAAAGTACTTTCACTGGCCAAAGGTCATCTTCTAGTAAACAAAACACTACCGTCCAAAAGTTGTATTATTGTGTAATATATTCCCGCGCCAATCGAATGCATCGATATAATAAGGGTTATAGACTTCACTCATTTTGTATAATCCGTAATTACAGTATCAGAGCCTACTCGGTATTAATTCTTCCTTGGTTTGTAATTCTTAGTATTTATATATTTATTCCTTCGTATCCCCTTCTACTAATAGTTTAGGAATTCTTTTTTTTTAGCATTTATCTCATTTTCTCATTTTTCTCATTTAATAACAATAATTAGTCATTTTTCTTAGTTATTTATATATAGAATAAAGCACGTTCTATGAGTTCCCTTGATTTTTCAATCTTTTCTTTTTTTGTCATTCATTGTCATGCACCTTTAAAAAAAAAAACAAAAAAAATCGAAAATTTTTTTTTTCTTTTATCCATGTAATTTAATATGCAATTTAACAAATAAAGTAATTAAAATCCCAAAAGACTGATTTGCTAGAAAAATAATTTATTTTAAAAAATAAAGTCGGTTAAGCTACATTACTCAGCATGATATAATAAATTCAATTCTGAATTTACTCAAATTGCATAATCTAATATATAGTTAAATATATTTTGCATAAAATTTTTTTTCTATCACTTAATCATATTTCGAAATTTGGCGTAAATCTCGTTCATTATCGCTGTCAACTTTTGTTTGAAACGATAAGATTTAATACAAATCATTCATATTATTCATTCAAATCAATCATTGTCAAAAATATAAAATATATAAAAAAAAAAAAACTCGCGCACGGCTGCTGAAACAATGGCAAATTACAGGTAAAATCGGTAAAAAATCGACATTCTTTTCATTATACCATTTTAAACATTGATTATTGTTTTTAAAAATTTTTTTTCTTGTGTTACCTTTTTTTTTTTGATCTTGTGTGATTCCTTTTTTTCCGCTCCAAACACAAAGTGCAGCCCGTATCGTACTACCATCGATACTAAGCGGTCACAACATGCAGTACAAAGGTGCAGGAGGTCATTTGATGAAAATGAAGAAATTGCGCTATTGGTGCTTCCAATAAGTGTTGCTTGTGATTATTTAAGAATGAATACAATAAAATATAAAAAAAATATATCACTATCGATTTTTGACATTTAGGGCGATCTAAAATACTAAGTAAAAAATGGAAAGTTAATTTTATTTTTATTTTTTATTTTTTTTTATACACAAAATCATTAAAAACAATGATTTTTTTTAATATTGTCACTATCATTATATATAACTTATATCACTGTTATTGTACATCACTTTTAGTGATATGATACTATCTTCTATTGTTTTTTTCTGGATCTCATGCAACTAATTAAGGTAAAAAGGCTCGTTTTTTTTTCATGCGATATTAGATATTCGATATGTATCGCATATATGCAGACACATACGTGCTTTTTTTTTTTCTAATTTTTCTTGAAATGTGTGCTGCCTGAGTCTTAAATAAGAGAATGCCAATGATAACGTTTCTATTTTCTGTATCTCGTTGGATTTCACAACAAATCAAATGCCTATCAAGTGACTAAAACTGTTTCACAGAGCCTGAGACACGTTCTCATAAAAAAATATTTGATATGAAAAGAGAATTGATTTGAACGAAAATATAAGTGGGCTGGGTACTCACGTAAGGCGGGGGGAATAGACTGATAGAATAAATAATTTTACTTATTATGGGCGAATGCAGAATAAAGAACCAATTGAATATTTGGTTATCAGTGTTGACTTCCTATGTTGGTTAATTCGATTTTTTTCTCTTTACATGGTTCCATTTTCTTGATTTATTCTTGTTTTTCACACATATAAGGATTATTATGGTATCAAGTCTAAAGAGAAAAAAAAAAATTATCAACAAATGACTATATTTATATTAAACGTTCAGGTATGTTTGTTGTTTAATATTAAAGTTATCAGGAAATTTTCTGGTTAACTTTCATTCCTTCCATTGTTCATGATCATTATTATCATTATTATAATATTATCTGTTACTTCCATACCCATATTTTTTCTTTTCGATCTTAGCACAAAAATCAAATATTGTTAAATATTGTGTCAAACAAATGATTTTTTTGCATTCAAGGAGGTTTTGTATTCATGAAACTATTTAGGATCGAAAATAAACAACTTGACAATGAAAATAATTAATAATATCTGAATTTGAGATTCCACAATATTTTTGTTATTATTATCTAATATATATTTAATTATTTATTTTTGTAATTTTTTATTTTTTTTTGAATATTATGTGATTATATGGATTTTTTTTTGTGATAGTTGATCACTCGATTGACAGCTTAACTTTATATAGCACATTTTGACACTTGTGTTACGTGGTGACAAAGGAGCTTCCCAAATGCAGTCATCATATCCGGGGATAAGTACTTTTGAGATATGACGTTACACTACTGTTCTTACGTATAGGATACTCTGGTTAAAGGAAAGTCTCAAAAGCAAAAAAAAAAAAAAACACTTGTTTGGACTCCTCAATGCATCGGTTGCTCTTTTATGGAAAGTTCACGATAAGACTGTTCGCTAAGCATTCTAATTATATTTCTATGTTAGGAAGATATTGCATAATATTAAAGAATAAAAAACAATGTCGTGTATACGATCATAGCTCTATTTTTAAATGTCAGTCAAAAAATAAAAAATAAAAAAATAAAAAAAATAATAATAATAATAAAAACTAACATCTAAGCGGTCGACTTAATGCTGTAACCTTTCACATATATATGTGTTATACAACATGATCTTAAAAATAATTGACGAATAAACAGAATGAAGTTTCCCCGCCATTCAATACAATCTGTTTCAACTATCGCTTTCTTGAGACATTTGGCTTCCTCCATCCCCCTCAGTTCCATTTAACTGTTATTCTCTGTGTATTACCAGATATCCTAAAAAAGTTTTTATATTCACGAATAAT